AAGGATTGTGGATGCACAAGTTGTATCTCTACTTAGTGCGGAATTTTTGGCTAGCAAAGATATTGAGCAAGCACCACATGTTGAAGGATTTATGACAATATAACTTCTATGTGAATATGAACAAACATAACTCATTACATTGTCTTCCTTGTCCAACATCAACAATTTTGGCATATAATAATTAATGGGGGCTCACAATCATAAAAGATGTCCAAGATATTGTATTTGCATGTGAATCTTCTCTTCCCTTATTAATTCTTTCATGAGTTGCATCATTGACCAATGCTATGTTTGTCACCTTTCAATAAATTTTACTACTTATACTCTTCCTTATGTGATGTCATTACTTACCATAATATTAGCATATGATAATTTTCATTTATTTACTTTATTTGGTTGCAACAATGAAGTAAAGAAGCAAAAACTCAAACTAAACTTTATTATATAGCCCTCACTCGATTGCATAGATAGATAGATCACGGAACTAAAACTCGAAGATAGATCATACTAAACTTTTTTTTTATTCAAATAAATCAAAAAATAACTATGGATCAAACTAAGAAAGGTAAATGTAATAAAACTGATGGTGATACGACACCAGGGCGTCTCCCCAAGCTTGGCACAAGACAAGGGGATTTCCCATACCCGTGTACTCAAGTCTCCTTTGGTGGGGAAGATGATGAAGGAGGTGGTGTAGAGGTAGTAGGTTTGTCCTCCGGCTTCCAGGGCAAGGGCTCACCATCAAAAGACGATCCACGAGTCTCCCGAGTCCTCCAACTGGCAGCTAAACTCATACCTTTAAATCTTGCTTCACACTCAGAGACTTGGTTTTGAAGATCATAGATTTGGCTTTGCAGAAAATTGATTTGCTCGTGGAAGGTGAAGACGATGTCCTTCATGGACCGACCATCCACCATGTGATCACGGGTGAATTACATGATCATGGAGTGATTGGTGCAAAGTCCACGCTCCACCATCCCTTGACACTTGAAGATGTCTTGTTCCACTGCCTCTAGCCTCACCTCCACGGTCACCATCCTCTTGGGCCCCTGAACATCCCGGATGTGGAGCACCCCCTCGCGCATCTCAATAGCTTGATGGTGCTTCACCACCTCCGACAAGTACGGGTTGACGACCCTCTCGAAGAATTTGTCCTTGGAGGAGCTTGGTGGAGCCATGGAGATCTAAATCTGACAAGAAAACAACATGAGAACATATGATTTTTTTGTGATGCAGTGTTCAAATCGATCGGGGGTATATATATAAAGATTTTTTTATCTTGGGAAACAAGAATATGGAAGGAAAACGGAGTCGGGAAGGTGCCTGAGGTGGGCACAACCCACCTGGGTGCGCCAGGCAAGGCAGGCACGCCCTGGTGTATCATGCCCTCCTTGGTTGCCTTCCTGGTTATTTCTTATTTTCCAATTTTTTGTAAAATTCCAAAACTGACAGAAAATAATTTTGTGGATTTTTCGGAGTCCGTTTACTTACCGTATCATGTACCTCCTATTTTTCAGGATTCTGGAGTGTTCAGGAAGGTTTCTTTTATGTGTTCCTCCGATGTCATGGTTCGGATAACATTGCTTTCAACATTAATAGGCATACCTGAGATGTAATGTTTAATTCTTTGTCCATTAACCTTCGACATTATTAATCTTAATAGCTCTAGAGCGATAAACCTCTTCAATAATATATGGTCCTTCCCATTTGGAGAGAAGTTTTCCTGCAAAGAATCTAAAACGAGAGTTGTATAAAAGAAAATATTCTCCTACTTTGAATTCCCACTTTTGAATTCTTTTATAATGCCATCTTTTAACTTTTTCTTTGAATAGTTTGGCATTTGCATAAGCTTGGGTTCTCCATTCATCTAGTGAGCTAATATCAAATAACCTCTTTTCACCGGCAAGTTTGAAATCATAATTAAGTTCTTTGATTGCCCAGTATGCTTTATGTTTTAACTCAAGAGGCAAATGACAAGCTTTTTCATAAACCATTTTATAAGGAGACATACCAATAGGAATTTCGTAAGCTGTTCTGTAGGTCCAAAGTGCATCATCCAATTTCTTAGACCAATTATTCGGGACCTATTGACAGTCTTTTGTAATATTAGTTTTTTTCTCTATTGCTAAGTTCTACTTGACCACTAGATTGAGGATGATAGGCTGTGGTAACATCATACTTAGCAAGCATTTTACGGAAAGCACCATGAATAAAGTGTGAACAGCAATATGATAGTAACGGTAACAATAGCAATTTTGTAGTGATTGTAACAACAGCAATGACAAAAGTAACTTAGCAAAGATAATTATATGAAAAGCTCGTAGGCATTGGATCAATGATGGATAATTGCGTTGGATGGCATTCATAATGCAACAGTCATTACCTAGGGAAACAGAGAACTAGCTCCAATTGATCAATGTAATGGAGGCATGTATTCCGTATATAGTCATTTATGGAAAAGAACATGCATGACATATTTTGTCCTACCCTCCTGTGGCAGCGGGGTCCATAAGGAAACTAAGGAATATTAAGGCCTCCTTTTAATAGAGAACCGGAACAAAGCATTGGCACTTAGTGAATACATGAAATCCTCAAACTACGGTAATCACCGGAAAGAATCCCAATTATTGTCACCTTGGGGTATGCGGATCATAACACGTAATAGGTGCATACAACTTGCAAGATAGGATCATGAACACACATATATTCATGAAAACATAAAAGGTTCAGATCTGAAATCATGGCACTCGGACCCTAGTGATAAGCATTAAGCAAAGCAAAGTCATAGCAACATCAATCCCAGAGCATAGTGGATACTTGGGATTAAGCCCTAACAAAACTAACTCGATTACATGATAAATCTCATCCAACCCATCATTGTCCAGCAAGCCTACGAAGGAATTACTCACTCCCGGTGGCGAGCATCATGAAATTGGTGATGGAGGAAGGTTGATGATGACTACGACGTCAAATCCCCCTCTCCGGAGCTCCGGACGGACTCCAGATCAGCCCTCCCGGTGAAGATCGGGAGGTGGCGGCGGCTCCATATCATAAAACACAATGAATCCTTCTCTCTAATTTTTTTCTTGGCGAATAGGAATATATGGAGTCGGAGTTAGGGTTGCCGGAGGTCCAGGGGGGCCACAAGCTCATAGGGCCCGCCCCCTGAGCTTGTGGCTCCTGGGTGCGCCCCTCCGGTATATTTTCCACCAATATTTTTTATATTTTCCACAAAAATTCTTTGTAAATTTTTAGGTCAAGCTGAGAACTTTGATTTCTGCACAAAAACAACAATTCTGCTGAAAACTATGTCAGTCTGGGTTAGTTTCATTCAAATCATGCAAATTAGAGTTCAAAACAAGAGCAAAAGTGTTTGGAAAAGTAGATACGACGGAGACATATCAAACATCCGCCTTTGGGTCGCCTCCCAGGCGACTCCGAAGCATCCCAGCCACCAACCTCTCAGTGCTGCCTCATCGGATCTCTCACGGACTGCTACGATCGGGCACGCACACGACAACTCGCCTAGGAGGCATGCGTGCATGCTTTGTTCGACGAGCGTTGGATCGACGTCTGTGGTGAGCAGAGCGATGGGCTTTAATTTGTCTGTTCTGGCATCGCCACTGGAGTGTGACCCGTTGTCTTGTCATCGCCATTGGCAATGTGAAGACCCATTTCCTGTGGCTAGTGGTGACCCCCATCCACCTTGGGTCTGCCTTGGCTCCTTCATTACCGCGTTAACCAAGGTGTTGATGGGGGGATCAAGGCGGTCCAGTTTGAAGAAGACTGGATAGGTTGTGGAGGTTCCATCTCGGATGCTCGTATTGAGGCGAGTCGAGAGCAGTTTGAGATTCCAGAGAGCATGCATTGCGGATCAGAAGAAGTATGTATGTCAAATGTTTGGCGTTTTGCAGTAGTGTTCGCGACATGTGGGGGCGGCTACACTAGCAGACTTCATTCTTGGCGGCGCTCTTTGAGTTTCGCGTCTCAGTTTCCGGGGTGAAAACCCTAAGTCTGGCCTTTGGTGGTTGTACTTGGCAATGGTGGCTCCTAGTAGTTTTTCTTCTTGAAGACATTGTGTGGAGATGAGACATTCTCGAGGGTGAAAATTCAAGATCTTACCTTGCTGGTTAGATCGCACGATGACGATGTTTGTGCATTGTTACCTTTCTAAAGACGTCGTTTTGGAGAACCTTCTTTGAAGTCTAGGTGTCATCACCACTGGTCGTGCTCTTGTTGCTGCGAATCTCTATTTGCTTCAGCGGGGTCTTTGTTTCCTTTTTTTCTTCCTCTTTTGTTTTCTTTTGGATGTGTGCATCCGTGATGTTTAGACTTAATTTAAGCATTACATTGTTACAGATGCCGGGTGTATATGGTATCATCATGATATTAATATATTTCCTTTATAAAAAAATGTCTGAGTTTTACTTTGTATTTTCCTTGGGAAGAAATAGTGGATATGTAACACACTCTGCACGGCGGCACTACCCGGAAAGAACACACACTTTACACACGGCCAGTGCGAAGCATTGATTCTCCAAATCTTGGTTGGTATGTGCCTCTGGCAGCCCTGTCCCGGCACCGCATCACAAAGCCGCCCGTCCTCGGTCGGTCGGTCGTACTTGTACACTGGCCTCGGCCTCGGCCTCGGCCTCTACATAGACAAAGCAGAGAAGCCAGCGACCATGGTCCACTCCCACATCCTCCGTCTCAGTCGCGTCTCCCCACGTTCAGAAGTGGAAGCGTTTTTAAGCTGGCGTGTGTGCGAGGTCTGAACTCTGGACGCGCGCAGAGCTCCCAGAGCGCGGCAGCGGCGGAAGGCGCGAAACCCCTTTGACCAGAGCCAAGCAACAAGGACACCCAATCCGGTTGGTACCGGGTGCTGATCTTCTTCCCGGCTTGTTCTTGATCGTCTCCGTCAATCTTTTTTTTGTCTTTGTCCTTGTGTTCTTAATCCCGTGCGTTTCTTGCTCGTGGTGCGCCAGTGCGAGCTGGGGATCATGGTGAAGGAAGAGGAGGTCATGGCGGAGGCCGGAGGGAGGGGGTACCTGGACATGCTTGGCCTCGGGGAGGAGGCCATGGCCGACTACTTCCTCTGCCTGTCCCCGTCCACCTCGTCCCACCTCTCGTCCGCCGCCGTCTCCACCACCACCACCAGCGCCAGCACTCATGCGGTCGCTTCTCCCACCTGCGCCTCCTACCTGCAGCCTCCTCCGGCGGCGCCGTGTCACCAGGTCCTGAGCTTCGGCGGCCGGGCGGAGCAGCAGTACCACGGCGGCGACGTCTTCGGGTTCCAGTACTACTACTACGGCGGCGCCCACGCGGTCCCGGTGGCTGTCCCGCAGAAGTCCAGCCCGACCACCGACTGCTCCTCCTCCATCTCCTCCATGTCGTCCTCGCCCACGGCCACCGCCGCCTCGGCCATCTCCACCTCCAAGCCACAGCCCGCCAAGGTGCGTGTACAGTGTGCTGCGCGCGCTACCAACTCTGTCAACATCCTTTGCATTGTTAATTTTCTGGTGAATGTTCTTCCAAGATTAATCCATGGTTGACCGGTTGTTGCCAAGTCATATCCATCTTTTTTGCACGATTAAGTTAACTGATGGGCATGTTAATTCTTGTTCTTCAGAAGAGGGGATCAAGAGGCAGCAGCGATCCCAGAAAGGCCGCTCCAGCTGCCACCTCAAACAAGAGACCCAGGGTGAGTTGTTCTTGCGCTAATAAGCTGATCAGTTTAAGATCAGGGTGTTTTGACGAACGGGTTTGAGTTCATGGTCCGGTGAAGAAACGAAGATGAAAAGTAAAAACTTTGCTTGGTTGTGTTGTGCTTGTGCAGGCGAGGAAGGAGCGGCTCGGGGAGAGGATCCTGGCGCTGCAGCAGCTGGTTTCTCCGTTCGGGAAGGTAAGAAAGACAGTGAAAAAGGAGATCGCAAAAGCTGGCAAAGCCTTTCGCTTTTGGCGATACGCTCTTTATCATCTCCTCTCTCCATCTGCTGTACGTGCCTGCCTCGCCTGCCTTTCCATGCCGGTGCAACGCTGAAATTACCCGCGATAAAATCTGCAACCATTGCCCCCTCCCACTGCTGTAAAAAACGCACGCAGATCAGCTACTAAGCGGTCAAAGAAGCGTAGGCTGACACGCACGCGTTGTTAACATATAGTATCACTGTAGACTGTAATTTCCTCTTACTTGCAAATTTGCATGCTGGACTGATGTAGACTGTAGTCGCAGATCCAAGTGGTCAAAGACCCACAGGCTGACACACACACACACACACCCATTGTTAACATCACATCACTGTAGTTTCCTTTTGCTTGCAACCATGCATGTTATTGAAGCTGATAGTACAGTAATTAAGGCAGACTATGGGTCATTGAAGCTGCTGTCTCTCCTCTTTTTGACCCTTTGACTGACGGGTGGATATGAACTGCCGCATTGACCCACCAAACCTAACCTGCCGCTGCCGTTGCCGATGCAGACCGACACGGCCTCCGTCCTGCACGAGGCGCTCGGCTACATACGCTTCCTGCACGACCAGGTTCAGGTACGACCTACGTCCATTACTATTAAAATTGAAACTAAAAATTAAATCGCTGCGACAGCAGCAGGCCCAGTCTATACCCTCCTACTCGACGTTATAGTGCTGTGTACGTACGCCGAGCGAGGAGGAGAGGGGCTAGCTAGGGTGTAGCTGTTGCCGTGCGTGTACCGCTTCCGCGCCGCATGCATGCTAACACTGTGGCCGCTTTTCTTCCTCCTTGGTTGGTGTCAGGTCCTCAGCTCGCCGTACATGCAGCGCCTGCCGCCCTCCTCCGCGCCGCCCGCCCCACTCCCGGTAAGCCGGCGCCATCAGAGTTTTACCGCGGCGCTTTGTGTCCCGTCGCTGTCTGGTTATGCGTACGTGATCTGACGTGTGGTTTTATGTTTATGTGCGATGCGCAGGAGGAGCCGCTGGCGCCGAGCGACCTGCGGAGCCGGGGGCTGTGCCTGGTGCCGGTGTCCTGCACCGACCACGTCGCCGGCGGCGGCGGCAACGGCGCCGACGTCTGGTCGTCGGTGCCGGCGATGGGCATGCCGGCGACGGCGGAGGAGGAGTACGCGGTCGCTGCCGGGATGCTGCGCGGGGACCGGGATCATCCTCCTAGCAGGCAGCTGGCCTAGCTTAGCTCCAGTTACATTTACAGCTTCAGCTGGGTTTACTACTCTAGAGTACTTCAGGTCGTAGGCTCCTCGGGGTTAATCCGTGGTAGGACTCCATGAGCTTCTTTTTGCCGTTCTTTTGGAGGCGCTCTGTGGGTGCACGGGCCGTGGCCGTGATCCATGTAACCATTTTTTCGGCAGAAAGGTGGCTCGAACCAAGTGTGCATATGCAGCGGTGTTTCCGACGTTTTTGTAGCAACGCTGCTCCAAATTCCAACTTGTGTTCAGCGTCGAAAGACTCGTCAGGGTTTGATGTGGCCGAGATGCTCGCTCGGACACGATGCCACGAATGGCTCCGTGCTGTCACGGCAGGCAGTGAATGGTAGTGCTTGTCGGAAGGATTTGTGGACGGACGGGCGGCGGGCTTTGATATCTGTGTTTAACTTGGTGCGCTTGGGCGTGTAGCTAGGCGTCTAGTCTGGTGTCTGGCTGTGTTTATGCTAGGGAGCGGTGCGGCGACAGGCTCCGGTATCCGTGGTCTGCATCGGGGATACGCTCCGTCAGATCATGAATATGAATATGCTGTCTTGTTCCTGGTATCATGCGTCTTGGAAGCAAGACCTTGCACAATGTGCCATCCCTCCCACACTATCTGCATTTTTCTAACGAAGGCAACTCCACGGGTAGTCACCAAATCAGCGTCACCGAGTGTCCGCCGGACAGTAGGCGGTGCGCCGGGCATTCAACTAGGGGTTGTTTGGTTTCCAGCCACAGTTTGCCAAGTTAAAATTTAGCAGCCACAGTTTGCCAAGTATGTGTTTGGTTTTTGTCACATTTTGGCTTGTCACACTTTATTGCCCCTATGGCCCATTTGTCAAAGAGACAATTTTTTTGTCAATTTTTGCCAAAGTTTGACGTCCAATTTCTTAGCCATACTTGCGTGGCTAGCCATATTTTGGCTTGGCCACACTAATAGGGCTTATCTCATTACAGGGCTTATCTCAAAATTATAGGGCTTTACTAGCCTAAGGCTCAATTTGGTTGTTTCCCATCCTATGTTCAGATTCCAAGGTGCATTAAATCATTGCGTGCAAGAATTAAAAGAAAATTGACCAATGCATGTAATTTATGCATGCATGTATTGCAATTAATGCATTGGTAAACATACTTTTTTGAGGAAAACAAGAGCATTAATTGGGTGCTTTTGCAAAATCCAAAAGGTATTCCACCATTCACCATCTATCTTGATTGGTGTGATTTTTAAATTGAGCCTTATAAACCGGAAAGGAAGGAGTAGCATATATGCCTGACATTTAAAGCAGAGGAGTATTTTTTTAGAAGCAACAGGAAAGCAGAAGATTGTTTTTTAGAAGCAACACGAGAGATACTTATTGTGTCCATAAAAAACGGTCTCCACGACGAGGAGCTGCAGTTTTCTTTCAGGTCATGTCTGGCCGCGAGATCTTGATAATGGTGGGGTTAGTCGGCTTGGCGGTGACCATCCAACTCATGCCTTTTTTCCCTCCGAGCCCGCCTCTGTCTTGGGGTTGTGATTGCCTCCTCATTTGGTGGCTGTCATGCGACCTTCAGGGCACTGTAGTTTCGCTCACTCTCTCTCTTACGACGGCGCGGCAGATGGATTATTAACTGGAGCGCTCACATCCAGTTTCATTAGTAGAATCAGCGCATAACCAGGCATTAAGGCCCTTCTTCATCAGGGTTTATTCTCTTTTATTATTATAGCGCTCATGTGCCCACAATCAATTTAGTTAGTGTGAAACAACCATATATTCTTTTAATGCGAACATTTTTTGAAAATTCCATACTTTTTTGAAAAACATAAAATAAATTCGAAATGGGAAAATTTATTGAAATTAACAAACATGTTCTAAAAACACGAAACTTTCAAAAAAACATGATTTTTTTTCAATTTTTAATAATTATTGACAACAAAAACATGTTTTGAATATTTGGAACAATTAAAAAATGTGTATATTTAAACACAACCATTTATTTATTTATTTTTAAATTTCAATAAAACAAGAATATTCCTCCAAGGGAATGAATTGGGCGCCGGACTTGATCTCGGTATGCAGCTTCTCCTCCATGGAATGAACTGGGCGCCGATGAACTGAGACTGATTGTAGGATTTCTGTTTCCTGCCTTGCAGCTAACAACAAACTGTGGTCGAAATTTTTACTAGTCGACCAAGAGTGTATGAGACATCGCAACGCCGGACCGACAAAGATCTGAATACCAATTGTATGACCTGACTTGTGGTTATTTCTATTGTTTTTAAAAAAGAGAGCTCCCTCTCTGATTCTTTATTTTTTCAAGAGTATGCTTAGATGTATCATATTTTTATAGAAAACAAAATTGTTGTACAAGAAACCACAACTTGCTGTGAACAACAAGTGTAGCTGATACTTCACACTCCACCGCGACAATTACAAACACAACACAAAATGCCTCTTCTAAACCAACATCTAGCCGTGTCACAACAAACGTCGGCCTCCTCAAAGCAACTACTCTAACCGGAATTTCCTTGCCAACGCACTACCCACCCTTGGATGCCTAAGAGGAGACGACGAGTGGATAGCAGGACTCGGTCGGTCTCGAGAAAGCCGTCGTCTTGGATACGCCGACGGTTGCATACATACCGCCCACGAAGATCAACTTGAACAGCGGCAGGCACCGGAGAACCACAAATAGAACCCAAGCCAAGTTTTCGCCCGCGATACTCTCAAAAGAGGAACGACGCCACACCGCCGCTATCGCCGGTCCTGTAACGGGCCAAGGCTTTTGCCTGAAGACCACAACCCGATCAAGAAGGGGAGATGCCGGCACACCACGGAGACGCCTCCAAGGAGGGAAACGACGGCGCCCATGGGCGTCGCCACCAGCTCCGACCGAAGACGAGCTGGATTTTCATCCGAACCGTCGCGTACCTCCAACCTCCATCAACAGATTAAGCCCAACTGTTGGGGTCACACCACCGCTGCCGCAGCACCTCGCCATCGTGATCAAACCGCCGCGGAATGCCGGCCCCTCACACAGCTGAGAGCACGTGGACCACCATTCAACACCTGCACGGTCGAAGGAACACTTTTTCAGCTCCAGACCTTCCTCAAAGTTTCAGTGCTGACCAGACCCACTGCACACATAGGAATGGGCTGGACACACCATCACCTGGCCGCCTTCCATGCCGCCGCTGCATTCCAGGGCCCTTCAAGGGAGGAGCTGGTGCACCTTGTGAAAGAACATGCGGTGCCCCCATGTTTGGTTTTGGTAATTGATGACAATCTCTATGGACTAATGGTTGCCTTGAGTTATATTTGAAGGTTTTGTCCATAGGCTATTCTTGGAGTACATGTGTTGGTTTCAAGGAGAGTTTGTGCCGACCAAGGTGCTATTCAAGGAATTACCTAAAATATTGGTTTTGTGAGAGGTTGATCAAGACTAATTCAAAGAGTGAATCAAGTTGATCAACACACAAAGCGTAGAAGATGTATCGAGAAGGATCAAGTGATCCCATGTTGTGGTAAGCATTGTCAATTACGCTTTGTGTACTAACCCATGGTCTTCGTGAGAGTTCTTTGCGGGGTTAGGATGCGATGTGCAAGTTCAAGTGATGCATCACGAAGAGATCAAGTGCTTGAAGCTTGCCTTCCATTGTGGTGACAATGGACTTGTGAAGATGAGCCGAAGAGTGGCTCATCCATAGTGGACTACGGGGGAGAAATCATCTAGTCTTCATCGAGCCAACACAATCAAGAAAGGTGGTCAACTTGAGGGAGTCAAGATCATCATCATCTAGCTCAAGTGGACCATGTGCAAGGCAAAGGTTTTCCCTTGATAGGTTATCTATTTTACCGTTCTCATGGTGGTAGTTGGGAGATCGGGTTATAGGATCGTTTGCCATACTATCAAGGGGCGCTCTCAAGTTGGTAGCTTGATCGTATCATTAGTAAAGAGTTCAAACCATTGCATTCTTGCATCATGTTTCTTGGTTCTTGTTTGATTCTCTTTGTGAGTCTTAGAGCTTATGGTCATCTTGATGACAAGCTTGAGTTCATTAAAAACGGAGTTCGCATGCGTCTTCTATGATGTTTTTGGTGTTGGAGGTTTTACCGGTCTTATCCGAGGAAGGGTTCTCACCATTTTCTTATGAGAATTTTCTCATTTGCTTCTTATTGATATTTCTATCAAGATTGTGTTAGCCCATGTCATTATCTTTCCAACAAACTTGGTTTCGTTGAATTCGGAGTCCGTTTGCAGAAGTTGTGGCTGTTTTGGTAAAGGCTGCAGCAGTACTACCGCGACTAGAGCAGATGTAAATTTTTACTACCGCTCCAGAGCGATACTACCGCGGCTCCTGAGTGGTAGTACCGCTTCAGAGCTGTACTACCGCGGCTCCTGGGCGGTAGTACCGCTCCGGACCAAAATCTCGTGTTTTGCTCAGCGGAGGCAGGCACGGAAGTATTTTTTTTAGTACCGCTCGCAAGCAGTAGTACCGCTACCATTTGCGGTAGTACCGTGAGGTCGAGCGGTAGAACCGTGAGGACAAGCGGTAGTACCGCTCTGGCGGTTCTACTGGCCTTTTGCCTACTCGCTGTTGTTTTTCAAAGGGGTACTACCGCCCTAGCGGTAGTACCGCTCCTTGGAGGGGTAGTACCGCTCTGTGCAGGCTGTGAGCATAACGGTTGGATTTTTCCCCACCTATAAAAGGGGGTCTTCTTCCCCATTGAACCTTATCCTTTGAGCTCGTGTTCTTCCCCCATTGTTGACCTTCTTCGAGCTTGCTAACTCTCAATCCCTCCATGGATTCTTGCTAGTTTTTGAGGGAAAAGAGAGAGGAGATCTAGATCCACATTTCCACCAATCACTTTCTCTTCTATGTGAGGGGAACCCCTTGGATCTAGATCTTGGAGTTCTTGGTGTTCTCCTTCTTGTTCTTCCTCTCATCTTCCTCCCTAGCATTAGTTGCTTCGATGCGATTTGAGAGAGAAGGACTTGGGCAC